CCCCAGTCCTGCCCAGCTCTGGGTGTCCTGGGCATGATGGGGGAGCTTGAAATTGGGGAAATTCTCCCTTAGGAAAGAACCCAGCTCCAGGGAAAACACCAGAACAGGAATGATTTCCCTGTCCCCAGCCCTGAAATCAGGGATGTGAACCCTTCCAGGTTAAACAAAGATTCCTCAGACTTCCTGTTAGAACCCTAGTTACGAACATTTTCAACTTTCTGTACTAACAGACACTAACCCCCAAGAGAACACTACATTTGGCCTAAAGCCGTAAAAAAACTACCAAAATTAAATAATAAAATGAAGATTGTGAGTGTGTAGTTTAAATAAAATGTGTAATATCACAAAGTAAAAAAGAGTTTAAAGTTTTAGAATAAAAGAATATATATAAAATAAAAGTATATTATATTATATTATATTATATTATATTATATTATATTATATTATATTTCTTTCATATATAAAATGAAAATTTTAAGACAGAAGTGAGTCCTTCTTCACCTTCTTCTTCATAACTTTAAGTAGTATTGTGTCATTAAATTAAAAAATCCACGTTACAAAACACAGTTAATTATTGAGTTAAAAATAATTTAAGTGTCATTTCTGAATTAGAGTTTATCCTTAAAACATCTTGTAAAAAAGAGACACAACTCTATTTTTTAGGTTGTTAAAGAAAAGTACTATAGAACTTGCAACTTATAAAACTGTAACATAAATAAAAAGTAATAAACATCTAAGTCCAAACAAAAAATACCATCTCGCAATTTAATCCTCACTTTAAGGAAAAAAAAAAAACAAAAAAAATCACGAACTTACTGCCCTCCGAAGAGCTGCATCCCCAGCAGAGCAAAGACCACGATGAAGAGGAACAGCAGGAAAAGCAAGCTGATGATGGATTTCATGGAGTTCAGCAAGGAGACCACCAGATTCCTCAGGGAATTCCAGTACCTGTGGTGGATCAGAGCAGCCACGGGAGAACATGAGTGGGGAAGAGCCTTTGGGGAGAAATTAGCAGGAAATTATTTCCCACGTGTCTCAGGTGCAGCTGGGTGTGTGCTCTGTCACCATCTGCCACAGCTGGGCAGTTCTCTGCTCATGGGCACTTTGCTTTATCTCTCCCACAGCCAATCCTCCCTCCGGGAGATCTCTGCTGTTCATGGGCCATTAATTATTAATTATCTTCTGTTCACGGCCACTGAGTGTCCCTGCATGGCTGAGAAAATTCCAGCATCCCATGGGGAGAGGCTCTGCCCAGGGGAGGAGCCAAACATTCCTACCTGGATCCAATCTGACCTGGGAACAGCACAGCAGCCTTTGCCCCCTGCATTCCCAGAGGAGCAGCTTTCT